TATTTAAGTAGTCAGTAGAATAAATGAAATGGTCAGCAAAACAATGAACGATCTGTAAATTGAATGAACGATCAGTAAATTATTTAAATGATCAGTTATTAAAATAATTAGGCTTGTTGATAAATCGAAAAATCAGTAAATTAAGTTAAATAATAAATATAAAAATCAAAATGTATTATAGTATGATTTTAATAGATGATATATATATTAGAAAAGAAATGATAGAAGAAATTAAAGTATTTCAATTATTCAATGCTACAGCTGTATTCGAATCAGCACTACTACCATTTATAAAGAAATGGAATACGAACAACAAGCAAAAGCCAATTAGTATTAGATTTCTTTTGTTATTTTTTCGATAATGATGGGCTCAAATAAAATGATAGTTGACTTGAATGTATACATTGTATGCACCAAGCACAAACAACGCCTTAGAGGCAAGCAATAAAAGAATCAAAAATAATGAAAGATTTAGAGAACGTCATGTTTTCTAAAAAATTTTCACACAAGCTTTAAATACTGTCGATAATTGATCATTTGAATGAAATTCTTCTTCAATCACCTCAAAAATATTTGCAATAAAACCAACAATATCTTTACAATTATAAACTTCAATGTATTAATGGACTAAATTAATCAAAGATTGAATTAGTATTTTCTATGATTTTTCACAAACATATGATATACCAGCTCGTAATTGATAATCGATTATACAAGTCAATTTAGATAAATATTAAAGGGAGAAGTCAACAAATTTTACTCAATTCAAAAAATCATTTGATATTTAGTGTGTGGAAATGAAAAATGATTCAAACTGGAATACATTAAAATACAACTGTCCAGCTTTTTTCTAAGAATTATTTATACAAATACATTCTTTGTATGGCCAGTCGTTTGATATATTGAAAGCTACCAGCAACAGTGTCAAAAGCAGCATCACTCAATGTAGAAAGAAAAAAAAAGTAGACCAACAAACATTTAACTTTTTTGTTAGTACAATAAATAAACTTTCATTTTCTTTTTTTTCGTTCAATCGTTGAGTTTCTATTAATTGTATTGTTGGATTTCCTGTCATTTATTCTCTGGTTTTTTAATTTATTTAAATTTATTTTTATTGTAGTAAATTTATTTTTATATGAATAGAATTTATTTCTTGTAGAGATGGAATCTGCATTTTTACTGATCCATTTTTAATTTTTCACTGACTTCCATTTAAAAAATTGATCGTTTTCGTACTAACCATTCAATATTTACAATAATCATTTGTATATATTTTTTTCCTAATCATTTCATTCGTTTTACTGACAAAAAATCATATTCTCAAAATTTAAACATTATTCTGTTTATTCTCTCTTTCGTCGTTCGCACAGCTATACGATACTAATACAGAAAAAAAAATGTGCATCGCAATGTGCGCAAAATAATCATGATGATATTATCAAAACATACGTTGTTTTTCTTTTCATTGGAAATTTTACCTTTAATTTATTGCATGTTTTTAGTCTTTCTTATGTATTTATTAATTTATTTTTTGTATATCTTTATTCAACAATTAAAATTAAATAAAAACAATTGATTTCAATTTATTATAATATATATGTATTAATGATTTTAAGAAAATAATGATGTGACATTTCGACAATTGAAATTACCTTCTTGCAGCGTTGTATAGGAGTGTATAGATTTTTATATTAAAATTTCTTTTTCTTTTCTTTTTGGTATTAATCATATGATAATCGAACGCCAATATGGTAGAAGTTTTTTATAGTTCTTTTTATTTTATATCCTTTATGTAGTTGAGAGACCCATGGTGCATTAATGTTATCGTGATGATTTATTGGTTTGTTAATGGTGGAATGAATTGATTCTTTGATTCGTCGCTTTTCCCAATCAATCTCACAGTCAATGACAAATGCTTTATCCAAATCAACTTGTGCATTAATATGTATTATCTTCATGGTTTTATACAATCTCCGAATTTGGTTTAATGTCATTGTTTTTAATTATTCAATTGTGTTGTCATATTCGTTTATTTAAACCAAGTTTTATTTCTTCGTTATAAATTGCTTTACACTTACATGTTACTTGATAAATATTCGATCTGGATTTTGGTTCAATTAGATTCGTAAGTCCTGCTTGAAGCTTATTAGGCTTGGAGAAAGATATTTTAATTTTTGATTGTTCTTATTTCCGTTTTAGTACTGTTATTCCATGTACAAATGATACTGTAATTTGGTATTTAATCGTAGTTACATATCAGCGTTGCACCAACCCACATCAAATCATTCGACTAGCTTGAAAATGCTTACTCAGCTATATAGGATGATCGATCTCAAGAGGGTTTCGTAAGAAATTCGACTGTCGAGGTCAACTTTTTAAAAATGTCTTCAAACAACTGTGCTACAAAGGTCGACTTTTTAATTCTACAGCTTAAAAATGTTTCTTTGAGTTTCGACTCACGAGGGAACCTCACCAACTGATACACTCCGTTTGAGCTCATATTTTGCTCATAGGTAGGGCTCATAGTGTAGATAAAAACCCTAAAAGGATCCGTCCCCATGCTGCTTTGTTGCAGAGAAACAAGCACAGCAAGTTTCTCTGAAAATGACATTATTGTATTTTCTATTAAAAAAATTTATTTTTATATCTCGATAAAAAGATGTTTTCACGTGCTGGTATTTTTAAAACTGCTATTACGTATGGTCACTTATTGTAGAAAAGCAGAAGACCATTAGTTATTTTTGTCTATTTAACGAGAAAAAAACTTGATACATATAGCGAATGAAAACAAAATAAACGATCAAGAAAATGATTAATCAGTCTGATGGTAATGATAGTTCAAAAAAAAATGAGTGAAGCACAGTTCTTGTTGACACCAAGAACATCGAATCATCGGTCCATCAATACAACTTTTTTCATGACATTTATCTGTTTGAAATGGCCCTGGATCATGTTTCAAAAACCCGCTTTTGAACCAGGCATATTTTATCATCGGTCGAAAAGCTTTTGAACACATTTGTGAATGTACTAATGATTGTAACTTAATCAAATTATTACGTTCGGATAAGTTAATATCTATTTCATCTAATCGTACGTGATCATATATACGACGTACAATTTTCTTATGTTGACGGTTGTAATACACATCAAGAGGTTGGATCATTGAGGTAGTTTTTGGTGGAATTACTCTATATTCAAAATGTTTTAATCCTTCATAAACTTCTGGATGAACTTGATGTGGTAAACTATCGACAAGTAACAACGGTCTGGATCGTAGATTTGGAAATAAACATTGTCTAACCCAATAAGTGACTACCCAGGCGAGCAAAGGACGGGTAAAAAGACTAGTCATTTTTCTAGTGGTGACTATACGTCATGTCTAGTCTTTTTCTCAAAAAGTCCTACTACATGACTAGTCCAAAATGGTTTGAAATCTTTAACCCCGTCTGGGCGTCCCGTCCGAAAATGGATTTTAAATTAAAAAAGGCAGAGCGCCTGTGACGCGACATCTATTAGGTTTCAGTCTTATGTAGCGGTCTAGTTCGGACTAGTCTAAATGATAGAAATATGTGCAGAAAGTTAGATTCGTACATGCATACCTTGTGTTACTTACTCGTCGTCTACCCGATTGAGCCATATGATCTAATGATCAACTTTTACATGTCAATACACATCTGAAGACACTAATTACTACAGTTTGACTAAGCGTTTTCTCAAGTTTTAATATTTATAGAAACTACTTGTGATAAAATCGAAAATTAGTTAAATAAAGCTAAGCAAAATTAACTCAGAATTTTTTAAATTTCCTTCAACAGAATTTTTTTTTGATTATCGACATTTGGAAAAAATTATTTTCTATTGGAAAAAACAATTAAAATTTAAATAAAAATAAAAATAATAATATATATTTCAAAAAAAGATCTTGCTTTTCATCTCATGGTTTATGTTTATCTTAATTTAAAATATTTCCTATTTAAATTTGAAAATGAACTATGATTCTACCGTTTAAATCCATTTTTAAATTCAAATCATTAGGTTTTCTATTGAAATAAAATAATATCCTCATATCAATGTATTAAAATTAATTTTTCGAATAAAATTATTCTTGATTGTTATTACAATTTAAAGATTTAATAGGACATAAATAGCCAACTCTCGTTAGATACATCGTTCTAGTCCCAATACAAACTAGTCTAAACGAATTGTCCGAATGATTAAGTCCAAGCAATAAAGACTGTTTGAAGGATAGACTAGCCTGGACCAGAATTGGCATTACTTTCTCGAAAACGACTAGTCATGACCAATATAGATGACTCTTCATACTAGTCCGCGTTATCTATTGAAAACAGTTTAGACTAGTCAGGTATCCAATATTGTCGGCTTGAATGTTCGAATCCACCTATCGCCTTCGTTTCTTCTAGCTTTTGCCTTCAAGTTGACGCTTCTGGACAGTATGCACATACAAAACGGACTAGCCATGACAAGATTAGAGCATGTTTTGGACTAGTCTATTTTAGATGCAAGACGTTGCTTGTGAAGACGACTAGTCCTGACTGGCTGCAAATCATTTCAAACTAGTTCAAACGGCAGTGCAGACATTTTAGACTAGTCCAGACGGGTACCACGGACAATTTAGACTAGTCATGTCGGGCGTCACCCCTTATTTTTTGCTCGCCTGGGTAGTGACGATGTTAATTTACCACTTTTAGAACAAGTAAGTACAATGTTTTTTGCATGGAACAAGTTCTTTTTCACATTATCACCAATACGTCCTGATGGCTCTTTTAAGCACATATATAATGGATTAAGAACAGATCCATCCATTGTTATTGTTGGTTGTATAGTATAGGTATGAGTTGCAGCACCAAGTGATCGAACAGAACCCCAAGTAGATTTTTCTCCACTATAGGTTAATGTTCTATTGCCATGAGGCTCCAACTCAATATCTATCTGATCTGTGTTCAGTACTTGATTTGGACTATATCCTTCTATGATTTTATTTGTTTCCAAAACGAAATGTTTTGCCGATTGATTAATTTCTTCCTGGTTTTCAACAACCTTTTTTGTGACCAATTTCGTTATTCTTCGACTACATATTCCATGTCGATATTTAAAATTCCATAACCAACCTTCGCTAGCTTGAAAATCTTTTAAATGTAATTCGTGAGCCTTTTTAAGACCCCATCTTCGTAAGTCAATATCATGAACCGATAAAAAATTATGTCGAGCATGTTCGAATTGATCATAAACATAGATATCGACATCATCCATTTTTTGTTTTTTTGTACCACCTGCTTCTATATACTTACGAAAGCTAGCAATGCATTGTGGATTAGGTACACGTTGAAAGCGATGTTTTACAGTTTGCCATTTTCTTTTTCGTTTACCTGTGATTGGATTTATTTCGCCATAATAATCAACCACACGTTTCATGTAATCAAGTGAGAAATGATTTTGTAAATTATATTCATCAATTGGTTCATAATCAGTATCTTTGATTGGATCAAGATGCTCGTCTGTGGATGTCGATGGTAAGGAATCCTTTATATCTTCATCATCTAATTCATCGTCATGGTCCAATGTATTTTCCGTTTCAAATGTATGATAAGTACTTTCCAGAATGGACTCCAAACATTTATAGAAATTTGATGCAACATGTTCTTCTTCAGAATTGATTGAAGATGGTGAATAACGGAATAATTTATCTGATGTCAGGTTAGATAATACTTTTAAGACGTTGTGAGGATTAATCATTTGTATTGTTGATAAATATAAATGATGATAAAATAAAAATGTGCTTCCTATCTGTTAACTTTGTGATGATAGTTGGCTACTAATTAGTTGTTAGTCAGAAAGAAATATTATTCTATCACTTGTATGAAATTTTTGCTATTTCAAGCAACGGATATATATATATATATATATATATATATACAAGAATACAGAAGGGGAAAGAATTTACTAGACCGTAGTAAAGTGAAGTGAACTTACCAGAGAATACGAAAACGAAAATATATGATTCATATAAAGAGAAAATAAATATACTGGAACATATTATTAGAGAAGAGCGTACGTGCATACGCGCATGACAGCAGAACAAAAGAGAATACAGATAGAATACGTATACGATGACGTCACAATAATGATAAAACGAACGAGATGAATAAGCGACCATGCGTAATAGCAGTTTTAAAAATACCAGCTCGTGAAAACATCTTTTTATCGAGATATAAAAATAAATTTTTTTAATAGAAAATACAATAATGTCATTTTCAGAGAAACTTGTTGTGCTTGTTTCTCTGCAACAAAGCAGCATGGGGACGAATCCTTTTAGGGTTTTTATGTACATTATGAGCCCTACCTATGAGCAAAATATGAGCTCAAACGGAGTGTATCAGTTGGTGAGGTTTCCTCGAAAGTTCATAGGAAGTGCAGTCCCATCGTCTACTCAATAAGAACAAAATACACGAGTAGGAAGAAACTCTGTCAGTGTGTATGAAGAGTGAGTCATGCACTAGACCATATCACAATTACTTTTGTTCTGACACTTCGGTTATCTTTCTTTCTCCTCTTCCGAGGAAGTAACATAAAAAATTCTACATGATGGAAAGCATATATAAGGACAGTTATGTAGATAATTTCATTCAACAATATTTATCGACTACTTTGCTGAAAGATAAACTATGGCCGTGTTTGGAACTGATGAATATGATGTCAGAATGTTTGGCACTACAGCGAATGTACCAAATGCTGATATTGCCAAAATAATGTATTATCTAGATTGTATATGTACTGTTATTGATTACAATGATAATGGCATTAATCGATATCGAAACTATTCAAATTGGGCTGATATGTCGGATTATGAAGATCGTTTGATTTATTTATTAGCTTTAACACTTTCGCCAGATGAATTAGAGGATAAAGCCCTTTTCGAGGCACCAGAATTATGTCCTACGACAAATAATCAGTTCTATGAAATTGGTCAGGTTAGAAATCGTTTCGTGGTTGTTCCATCAATTATCATAGGTGGTCGATCGCGTGAAGTGAAAAAAATTATGGCATATGAACCAATTTGGATGCAGAGAAACTATTATGAACCAATGGCAAGACTAAAAAGACGATTTAGTGCAAACGAAGACAGCGACAACGATGACGATGACGATGACGATGACGATGACGATGACGATGATGATGACGATTATGATAACAATACTTATTATTATGCTACACCATCATCGAGTACTTGTGTTATTTCTTGAAAATGAAGTTGTATACTTTCAGTTATTTCGCGTACTAGTACTGATTGTGATCAAAATATAGATTTTCGACTTCATAAAACTTGTCATCTCTGCAAATATTGCTTTTAAATGCCAATCACCCAGCATATCCTATAAGTTTCCTCACTGGATTCCTAAATCTACGCCATATAGATATGAATCAGTTTTGAATCTTGATAGACAAGTTCGACATGAAGTGTCGTTTTTTAGTTCTTTTCAGCGAACAGAACGATTTATTAGTTGTGATATCGTTCTTCAATGTGAAATAAATTTTCAATTGCAGTATAAGTCAATGAATAGAAAGTCAACACAACATCCGATCCGGGCATCTATTTTTGAAAAACTGCTTATGATTTTTATAATTTTAATTTGAATTCCACTAGATGGCTGAAATGCTGAAACATAGTAGAAGAATTCAGGTCTAGCTAGTCAGACAAGAGTTGAAAAAAGATGATGTTTTAACACTTCAAAAGCATATATTTTAACGACTGATGAAATTTGAATTTTTTTCCAACACTAAAGGAAGCCTCTGAATGTCATCGTTGTGGAAATCATTTCACTCCAAACAAAAAACACAAGTTTCAACGGGTCAAAATCTGCGACTTTTACGCATTAAAACCCGTTATTTTAAACTCTTCTCTGACTAGATACTAAGGTGGAGGCTTCGTAAATTTCTTAATTCTTAAACGGATGTTCACTAAATGAGTTCAGATACCAATGTGGGCATTTGTGTGGATGTGAGTAATGATCACTGTCTCATCCATATTCACATCCACACTTCTTGTTGATTCAAATAATTGATTGTTGATGTTTTTTCTAAATAAACCTTGACGATCATACTGATTTCATCTTATGTTATTAGATTTTCATTTTTGTCTAAAATATTGACATCTAACGGAGCTACAAGTTCACATGCATCGGTAAACGCATGTTTTACAGTCTGTTCGATTCCATTGCTAGAGGGTGTGGGTGCGGGTACGGATTAATTGTGGAATATGATCCACACTCACACCCACACCCTCATAAAAATGTTTCATTTCTTAAACGTTAACATCACAATTTTGGGTTCAGATATACAAATTCTTGCCACTGCTTCATATCCGACATTCGGCTATAAATCAATAAGACAAATAAATATGATAATGTGTCTATTCGTTTAGTGGAACCGCTTCGAGTCAGTCGTCTGTGTGATCTGTCAGATGAAATCTTGTTGATGATATGCCACTATCTGAGACCAATCGACGTGCTTCATGCATTTTATTCGGAACACATATCGACTCGTTTCTATCATCTGCTATTCGACTAGCGCACGTAATCCGTTCTCCACAATCTGCAGTACTTCGATTTTTTTTCTAGTTGAGCACATGTTGAAGTTGACATTGGATAATACGGACATTCCGTGTTTGATTGAGCATTTCATCTTATTGTGTCATAAGTCCCCATCGATCGAATCGTGAGAACTTCAACTCAGATCATGCACATTTGTTAGCCCATCGTTACTCTCAGAGATTTCAACGCAAGCCAAACTCGAAAAGCTCTCATTTGACTTTTGTTTCTATTTCAAGGGTTCACCATTGACACTGACTGAACGGGGTGTTTTACAAAATTTTCTTTTTAACAATGGCATCACTGTATGCCTATAGACACTGTCCGTCTTGCCACCGCCAAGCTTGGTGCTGCACAATCAATTGTCACCAAGTCGTACAATGCATATCAAATTTCATCTTGACACGCTCGACGATCTGCGTTTGTTACTCAACAAAGGACTCGTACCAAATATGCGTCAACTTTTCGTCGATTTTCAACCAGCGCAGCTAGCTGAATCACGGAACATGAGTTAGTCATCTCTTTCATCATAATTTGCATTCGAGCGATAATGGATTTTTCATTTTCCAGTCCATCAACAACGATCAGACTTCTGTTCTCATCATCACTTGGCAGAATTTTCACTTATCGACTCGAGCAGCGAACTCGCTTCATTTCTTCATGCTATGTCAATACTCCGAAAACTGTGTGCATATACTCATTGAGCACACGATACATCATTGGCTCGGTGTTCATTCGTGAAAGCTATTTTACCTTGATCACTCGTCGAATTACACTACATAGCTAACTTTGCTGTACCATTGCCGACTGATATGATCAGCAGCAATTAGACTGCTAGTTTTTCCAATGAAAATATTCGATAATCAAGTATATATAATACCTTGGAAGTGACTCGCGTTTCCCTTATCGATTCTTGTCAGTGATTATGAATCCACAAATCAACGTGCAATCAAGTCAATTTAGATTCCATCGACGGACATTGTCAATGGAGAATGGGTGACTCGACCGGATTCCTGGCATCATATTACTACAATCTACACAACAACCAAACTACTGTCTCTTGAAACATTTTGACGTCTACATACACTCGTTACATCGGATAGTAATGTTGTGCATACATCGATGCCGTCTACCTTGTGTTCACTTATACTTGAAAGTATAACAATAGGATCACTGATGAGTTATATTAGTAACCAACGCTATCGAGAGTAATATATCGACTGGAGTCCAGTCTGTTTTTTTTTGTAATCGCCAGTGAGAATCGTAGAAGTAGAGAAAAAAATTCTTTAAATCTTATGTAAATTGGACATGCTACTTTGGAATATCTGAAGAACTTTAACAATCAGTTGGAAAGATTTCACTTGGATCGTATCTAGCTCTTGTTTCTCTTCCATTTATCATAATCAATTTGATTAGCATAAAAATCATAGGACTTACTCTGGGATAAATATGTGAAATTGTTACGAAACAATTGACTTTGATACTCTAAAATTTTAAATGCCATTCGATGAAACCTCTCTCTTTGATCATATAATGATTTATCCTTTTTCAAATTCAATTTTTAACTAAACTAAGTTATTGTCATATATGTGTCAAGGGATACACCGATGCCACATGCTATCACCACCAGTATGTAACATCATCCTTGCGTTACTTCACTCTGACTTCATATCATCCTTGTATGTTGTCAACCTTGTATCATGACATAATACTGTTCATTGTGTTCAATACTCGTTCAATACCTTTGTAACCGCTGTGCTGTTCATTGCATATATGCTCATTGTTCTCTTATCACTCCGAGAGATTACCACATCAAACAGATGTAAGGATAAATCGCTAAGAAGGAGAAAGAAAAGAAGAGAACAAATCGAGAATGTTCTCAATGGATATTGCACAGTGTGAAGGATACACCTCACTCGAGGTTATACATCTTTCTTAGATGGTATATATATGTTGGTGTACAAGTCAGAGAGCTGTTAGAGAGTAGATGGAGTGTGTCATATAGAGAGTTAGATATATATATATATATAATAATATGTGCGTTAATATCAAGAGAGAAATAAAATCACGTACAACAAGTAACGAAATTGTGGTTGAAGAAACGATAAACAAAGCAAGGTCATAAAATACGTGCCCCAACCACACGGTCACCCATCTTTCTGTATCGTATCCTTCACGTATTATCAATTTTCCATTACAATATACTCTTATATATGCGTTATTATGAATGTTATTCAATCACACGTTACTAGTTATTGACCAGTGGCGTATCCAGCAGGGTAGCAATTGGGCAATTGCCACCCAAACGAAATTTTATTGCTACCTATTTCTTTTTTAGTGTGGGCAATTGCCCATTGTAAAAAAATACGAAAATTTGTGTACAGTTAAAGATCTAAGGACTGTTTTCTTTCAACACACTTGCTTTTGGCGAGATTTAATCAAGTGATTTACAAAAATCGGTCTTCAATGTCTTCCAGTTAAAGAATGATCACCATAATAATAATAATTTATTTATATTTACTGGCAAAATACTCTCTATCTTTTATACGCTCAAATATGCTAAAAGTAAAGGTGGATAAATGTTCTACAATCTTTCTATTTCTACCGGCATAATTCGTATGGTACAGAAACGACTGAATCAATCTAAATTAAAAGCTTTCGCACCGTATGTTGCAACATGATTCGTGCAATGTAGTATTGAAAACGTGAGCAAATCATATAGAAAATTTAAATAAAATTGATTGTGTAAATGACAGTGTTTTGAAAACGTTTTAACAACTTATTTCAGACATTAAAAGTACTACATTACTAATGAAATGACAATATATGTAGTCCACAGGATGTGTATATTAGTGAACAGTACAACCAAGAAAAATAGCTTTCATAATTGAGAATTTGTTGAAAATATAGATGGAACAATGCTTGCTGCTTGCTGTTGTCCAATGTAAGAGAACAATCTAATACGTGTCATTGTGTGACCGATGAAAGAAGATTAACTGAGCTTTTTCATTGCCTAACGAAAGAGAATGAAGAGACATTGATCATTTTTTCGGTGAAAAAAAGATAAAATAACACTCACCCTCACTCTACTAAAAAGAATACTAATCATCATGGCAGCCGTCAAATAAAGAAAAGTGATTATCAGCACCGCGGCCGAGTGAAAGAAAATAGCCAGAATGTTGTGTTATTAATAATACAGTATAAGAAAAGACAGTGCATTTGTTGATTGAAACATACATATTATACACACACTTTTATACTAAATATCTTTTGCTTACATGTTAAAATGTCTGGTGGTGATAAACGAAAACTCGACTCACTTGATTCATTTGTTACTATCACGAAAAAGTCGATCGTCACACCATCCTCACCCAAACAAACTGAATCCGATCAGTCTGCACTTATCAATGCTGAAGTTACTGAAACTATTGATGTTGAATTTGAAGAGCCAGATACTCTCAATTCTTCTGATATTAACCAAAACTTGAATGTTATCGATTCTCATCCAAGTACTCATGAAATTGATATCGGTTTTCAATTATCATTACGTACTACTCTTACCAATGAAACTAAATACCAATTACTTACAAAACCATTTCGACCTGATAAGAAGTACAAATTTCCAGATCAACGTGAAAAAGGTGCAGCACCTCGTCGATTTATGGCTACCTGGTTAGACCAGCATTCATTTCTCGTCTACTCACCATATTATGAAGGAGCATATTGTTCTGGTTGCTCTTTGTTTTCACCTTTGGCTTCATATAAATCTAACGTGCTGTTTGTTAATTATCCATGTTCTCGTTTTGGTCATCTAAAACATTTCTCGAAATATATGAAAACTCACCTCAATTCAAAAAATCATAAACTGGGTATGATACGTGCCACTGAATTTATTCGGACGTTCGAAAATCCAACATCTAGTATCGACTATCAACTGGATCGCAACCGAATCGAATTAATCGAAAAAAATAAATCTATACTTCTCTCAGTTATCAAGGTGGTGATTACCTGTGCACGACAGAATATTTCTCTTCGTGGCCATCGAAGTGAGTCTTTTTCTTCTTAAAATTCATAGGTAAAATTTGGTTTATATTTTAGGTGAAGATATCATCTCAATTCGAGAACATCTCGATACTGTTGAAGCATCGTCTGGATCTAACTTCATTGCACTTCTGAAACAACGTATTGATGCTGGCGATCAAATTCTTCAATCTCATCTTGAAAACGGAAATCGTAATTCAACATATACAAGTTCATCTATTCAAAACGAGATTATTGAACTTATCCATGGACACATTTTGTCAGCTATTCTCGATCGTTTGGGTCCTACTACACTCTATTCAATCATAGTCGATGGTACTACCGATTCAGCTAACATCGAACAATTGTGCTTTCTCATTCGATACGTCGATCAGCATTCACTTGAAATTCGCGAAGATTTTCTTGCCTTTATACCAACTACTTCGTCAACTGGTGAAGCTATTGCTGAGCATATTTTATCATGTTTAAAAAAATTCGGACTTCCACTTACCAACTGTATTGGTCAAGCATATGATGGTGCACCCTGTATGTCTGGTATTTTTAATGGATGTCAAGCCATCATTAAACGATTTTGTCCTGATGCCGAATACATGCATTGCAGTTCTCACGCCTTAAATCTTGCTCTTATTGACTCAAGTTCTTCTCATTTTATTCGAAATATGTACGGTATTGTAAAATCAATTATTACCTTCTTCAATGATTCACCTAAGCGTTCGAACGCACTCAAATACGAAATTGAACGACCAGACAATGATTATTTAGTATTAAGCAAAAAAAAACGTCTGTTGTCTTTAGTAAGTAGAAATGTTTTTTTTAGGTTCATTCCGTTTCAACTATAAATCTATTTTCAATACTTTTTTCAGTTTTGCTTAGAAGAGTTTTTCTAAAACAAAAATATTCTGTAAATATTATTAATATAAAAATGTTTTGCTTTATTTTAGTGTGAAACTCGATGGGTGGAACGAAATGTTGCTATCGAAACATTTCTTGAATTGTACATTCCAATTTCAAATACTCTTGATACTCTTCGTATTGGAGGAGATTCAACTTCACAACAACTTTATCATCCAATTAATTGTTTCGAAACTATTATTTCCACATGTATTGCATGTTTTCTTCTTGGTGAAGTTACTCCACTTAGTCGTCTTTTACAAACTCCAACAATCGACTTTGGCATCGCTCATCATCACGTTTTATCATTACTCAAAACATTCGACACACGAGAAGCTGATACGGTTAATTCTTTCAAAAATATTGTCTTTGAACAAGCTAAAGAAATTGCCAAAGAATTATTAATACAGCCAACAGCACCACGAACATATCAACGACGACATGGTCAAGATATCCTTGATCCAGAAGAATTTTATCGCGATCAAGTATTTCTTCCTTTTCTTCGTGAATTAAAAGGAAATATCGAAAAACGACTTTCAATATTTAATCAAGTACGTATACAAATACTTACTCAATTACGACCTGAACACATTACATCTACAAGCTACTCAATAACTGAACTATATAAAAAATTAACGGACAATTTCTTCGATCGTTTACCACGACCACTACAACTTTTCGGTGAATTAGAAAGATGGAGAAATGAATGTATTGGTCTTATGAACAAGCCAAACTACATTAACTTATGGATGAACGATTTACTTCTTAAGTGCGATCCTATTCTTTATCCAAATATAAATTATTTACTTGTGTTTCTTGCTACTCTTCCAGTTACTACTAGCTCGGCTGAACGCGCTTTTAGTTCACTCAAGCGCATCAAGACTTATTGTAGATCAACAATGGGTAAAAATCGATTAAATGGACTTGCAGCTGCATCCATTCACAAAAGTGTGGAGATTGATGCTAATAAAATTCTCGATTTATTCTTAAAAAAACATCCACGTCGACTTGATTTTGGATTATGAATGCTTGTTTTTTTTTGTATGCATTATTCTTTATTAACTTGTGCTCGTTGATATTATTTATTTTTTCTATTCATGCTTATTTATACTAATACTATTTCTTGTTCTATTGTTATTTATTTATGACTTCAAATAAAATATTCAAATATATAAAATTGAAAAGTAGATTTACGAAACACGGCGAAAAAGCAGCGAATTCATCTGTTAACGTATGATGACTGCAACTAAATTCTCTTCAAGTATACAACAGCTTCTGTAATGAGCATAATATTTTTTTAATTATTGCCCACTAGATTTTATAATTGCCCACTATTGCCACTCATTATAAATAATTTAGCTGGTGAATTGCCACCTACTTAAAAAATCCTGGCTACGCCACTGTTATTGACTTATTATTTTCAGTTTGAATCAAACGAATAATTTTCATAGAACAAATGTTTTCATCGATTTAGATGATAATAATGAGGAATATTATTTGATAGTATCCGGAAGAAAAAGAAATTATTGATCGAACAGATGTTTTTCTCTCTGACTCACATAACTGTATATAGAAAAGAGAAAAGAAAGAAACCTATAAGTCAACAGCCTCGCGGTACTCGACATACTTTTCGTACGAACGAATGGTACGTACTTTTCAGTACGAACGAATTGTCATCATACTTTAAAACAGAACGAAAAAAGTAGCGATGTATATAAAGAGGCAGTAAAAAGCATGATATATACAAAAGAAACGACACAGCAAGTACCGTCAATAATTTTTTATCAACAAAACATCAAGTAAGTTTAATGTTATCTTTCTCACACAATCAACTTGATTTTTTTCAATTTCTATCCACGAAAAAGAAATATCTTAAAAAGAAACATAATGCACACTTCTACAGAGCATTTTTTCAGCAAATCTCGAAACGATGATTTCAATTTTTGATTAATAAAAAAATGGAATAAATGTAGAGTAAAATATGATATTCTCAAAATTGATATCATGGACAGATATTATTATATTAAATAGGTCTTCTGAAAGGTGAACTCGTTGCAAAGAGCGGAAGCATTAAAATCTTTTGAATCATGATATTTATGTGGAAAATAAAATAAGATTAAAGTAAGAACAGAAAATGTAATACCTTATCAACCAAATAACGTTCCATTATATCGAAGGATGTTAGAGTATGAAAATCGGAATGCTATCATATTCATATTTGATTATTTAAATAATTGTTTTTTTGTTCAAACTTTAGATAGGATTTTGATAATATTATTAATTATTATACGTGAACAATTGTCATGACAAAATCAATTCCACAGCCTCAAGAAACGTTTTTGATTGGAAATTTGAAAGAGATACATCCTGATCATTTTTTGGAATCACTTCAGAGACTTCAGAAACTATATGGTGATATTTATCGATTGACTATTTTTAAAAGAAACTTGGTCATAGTGTCCAGTCAAGAACTTGTCAATTTCGTCTGTGACGAATCTAAATTTGATAAAAAAGTTAGTCAAGCTTTGGAAGAACTGAGAGCCATGGCTGGTGATGGACTTTTTACTGCACGTACTTCAGAATTAAACTGGAAGCTTGCTCATAAAATTTTAATGCCTGCTTTTGGACCACAAGCAATTCGAGATATGTTTCCAGCTATGATGGATATATTGTCACAACTTATTCTTCGATGGGAACGTTTTGCTGGAGAAGAAATTGATGTTTGTGATAATCTTACTCGATTAACATTGGATACAATTGCTCTATGCAGTTTCAATTATCGATTTAATAGTTTCTATCAGAAGACTATGCATCGTTTCGTTGATGCCATGGTTAATGTTCTTGTTGAAAGTGGTAGACGTACTGGACGATTTTCTTTACAAAATACACTTATGGTATCAACTGCACGTCGATATAACGATGATATTGCATATATGCATAATCTATGTGATGAAATTGTTAAAGAAAGACGAAAACATCCAAATGATATTAATGATTTACTCAATCGAATGATTAATGGTAAAGATTCAGAAACTGGTTATCAATTATCTGATGAAAATATTCGATATCAAATGGTTACTTTTTTAGTTGCTGGACATGAAACAACATCTGGACTTCTTTCATTTACTATGTATTATCTACTTAAAAATCCACATGCTTTACAGAAAGCACAAGCAGAAGTCGATCAATATAATGAAATTACAGTTGATACATTAAGTAAATTGAAATATATTGATGCAGTATTAAAAGAAACACTTCGATTACAACCTACAGCACCATTATTTGTTTTGGAATCAATAGAAGATAACATTAATCTACCCGGTGGATATGAAGTTCATAAAAGTGATATTATTATAGTTCTTTTGTCTCAATTACATCGTGATCCAAAAGTATGGGATCGACCCGAAGAATTTCTTCCTGAACGAATGTTAAATGGTGGATTTGAAAATCTTCCATCAAATTCATGGAAACCATTTGGTAATGGTCAACGTGGTTGTATTGGCCGACCTTTTGCATGGCAAGAAAGTCTTCTTGCTATTGCACTTATTCTTAAACATTTTAATATTGATTTTGTTGATCCATCCTATGATCTTCGTATAAAACAAACATTAACAATTAAACCTGAAGGTTTCAAAATACGAGTTCAACCACGTCGACGAGCAGAATTTTCACTTCATACAAATATGAAACAATCTGAAAAGATATTTGATAAACAAACAAAACAACAATCTGATAGAAGTCATCTTCGACCAATGTCTATTCTTTTTGGTAGTAATTCTGGTTCTTGTGAATCTTTTGCAGAAACATTAGCATCTGAAGCACCTCTTTATGGTTATAATGCTACTGTAGCTACTCTTGATTCTGCTGTTAGATCTCTTTCAAATGATCGACCTATTATTATCATTACGGCTTCATATGAAGGTAAACCATGTGAAAATGCTAAACAATTCGTAGCTTATCTTGAATTAAAACCTAAATTAGAAATAAATTATGCTGTATTCGGAGCTGGTCATCATGATTGGGTAAATACATATCAAAAAATTCCGATTTATATTGATCAAATGATTGAAAATTCTGGTGGTACAAGAATTATTGAACGTGGTATTGGTGATTCTGCTGGTGATTTTTATGGTGCATTTGAAGTATGGAAAGAAAATCTTTTTCGAATATTACGAAAAGATACTAATGATCAAAATGTTATTAGTGAAGAAAAACTTTCTATTGAAATTGTTAATACAAAAAGAAATCTTGGACAAATAACAGATTTTGGAATTATTTTACAAAATAAAATTCTAATTGAAGCAAATGATATTGGACCTACAGTAAGACATGTTGAAATTAAACTTCCAAAAGGACAAACTTATCGTACTGGAGATTATTTAGCTATATTACCAACAAATCCAATTGAAATTGTTTATCGAGTTCTTAAACGATTCAATTTATCTGCTGATACTCATATTAAAATTCTTTCTTCTACTGATACTTTTTTTCCAACTAATTATCCAGTTAGTGCATTTGATATTTTAAGTGGTTATGTTGAATTAGCTCAACCAATTAGTAAAAAACAAATTGAAACTCTTGCTACATTATGTAAAAATGAAAAAGAGCAAATGAATCTTAGAAATCTCGGTGGAGATGTATATGAAAATGAAATTCTTACTAAACGTATTAGTATATTAGATATTCTTGAATTATATCCTTCTTGTGAACTTTTATTTTCACAATATCTTCGAATGCTTCCATCACTTCGTATTCGACAATATAGTATTTCATCTTCACCTTTATGGAATTCAGAAGTTGTAACATTAACATTTGATATTCTTAATACTCCAGCATTAAGCGGAATTGGACAATATTATGGTGTTGCATCAAATTATCTTTCAAATTTAAAAGAAGGTAATCAAATTAGTTGTACTGTTCGTGCAAGTAATGTTACATTTCATCCACCTGAAGATACAAAAATACCAATTGTAATGATTGCTGCTGGAACTGGTATTGCACCATTTCGTGGATTTATTCAAGAACGAGCAGCACAATTAGTATGTGGAAGAGAAATTGGACCTACAATACTTTATTATGGATGTCGATTAGAGGAAGATTTTTTATATGCAAATGAATTTGATAGATGGTCAAAACTTGGTGCAGTACAAATTAAAACTGTTTTCTCACGTCAAGGAATTAATGGTAAAAAATATGTTCAAGATTTAATTTGGGAAGATCGTGATGAAATGGCAAAATTGTATTGTAATGGTGCACGTTTTTATACATGTGGAAGTGCTCAAAAATTAGGTGCATCAGTGAAAACATGTTTTATCAAGATTATTGCAGAAATCAAACAATGTAATGAAGAAGAAGCAGCTAAAATTCTTGAAGAAATATCAGTTGATAGATTTAGTGTTGATGTTTTTGCATGAAATTGTGTTAACTTATAATTTCTTTTTTTGTATTTATTATAAACTTCTTTTGATTATAGACTATGTACTTTGAATAAACATTTATAATAAAAAACAAGTTGTGAATGTTGATTTTATTTTATTCTCACAACTACATCTCACACTCACATCCTTCGGAATTCAAACACTGCTCATTTTCGATCGAAAAAAAATTGTCTTTCTTTATTTCTGTAAGAATTTGATTATTAAATCGATCGAAGAATTTTCTTCTCTGGAATTCTAAATAAGTTTGAAATCTGTTTGATTTGATTCTTATTGATGGAGAATCATTTCATTATCATATTGGCTAACTTGTATAATCAAATCGAGACATTTGTCTTTCCGCTCATTGCCATGGACAATACAAAGTGATTTAAGATTGAGAAATCTGATAATCGAAGCAGTAATTGAATAACGATCTTCAGTATACAAATTCAGATGACATGTTAATATTTAAATAAGGCAAAAAATGAGTCTTATTTTGTTCGTCAGTTATTTTGAATCATTTTGAAGGGCAATGATCGATACTTTCTTCGATGTTTTTAAAAATAAGAATGCAGAAATTCAGCTACTTAAAGGAAAAATTTCAGTCTGCAAAAAGAAGGAATATTGTATTTCGTTTTATATTCATTCGATGAGCTTGAACAAAAGATAGATGACGATGAATGGAACGAATATTTTTCCTTCTTCGTACTGGATAACGAACTTTGGCACTCATAGGTGGCGAAAACAAAGAAAAACAAATGTACAAGAGGAAAGGAAAAAGACTGTGGCCGTTTATTTGCATGAATATGATCGAATCAATGATGGAAAGAAGATCAAAAGTTAGAAACTAAAATTTACTGATAAATATCTGAAGACTAATAATAAGTCTTGACTCTAGCAATTATTAAAATTAATCGAAATGTGTTTTCTGCTGCTTTATCGAGTAGATCAAAAAAAGTTTAATTTGTAGACTTGGATAGTTGATTTTCTATCGAAAAGAGATTTATTTTGACGAATCTAATCTTGGATACAATCACACTCTTTCCATCACAATTAACTTTTAAGATATCAAAGTAAAGTTATTGAAATTCTTTTGTTAAACTCAAAGTCCACCTATTTTGGATGTGAGTATGAGTGTGGATGAAAGCATGGGCTTGTGTGTAATAATGAATGAAAAGAGAAGATCCACACACAGGTACCTGGTTTGAAAGTATAGGAATCGAAATGTGGTTATCGCTGCTAAAAAGGTTCGATCCACGTTGGCATTCAATTCTCTATTTGCTTCTCTTCTTTCTTTTTTCAATGCAATAGATATGATAATGAGAGAATAAAATATTTTCTTCTACTGCTTCTATTAGAAGAAAAAGATAAACTTTGTTCTCTATATTATTTTAGAACTGTTATATGATTATAGAAATTCGAATTTTATAACTAGATGACATACTTTTATTGACAAACAATATAATGTACTTGACTTTCGACGTGATGCAATAAACTCTAATGGTATATCAATTTTAACGGAATACTTATGGAAGAGTCGAACATAAGAAATCCATTATTTATCATTTTATTTAATTTCTGATATGAGAAGCTATTTCATTAAATAATACAATTTAAAAAAAAACATTTGAATTTGATTCAAATGAAATAATAGATCAAGGTACTCAATATTTATCTAAAGCTTTAAAAGAAAATCAAACATTAATATGTTTATCATTAGATAATAACCATATAACTAATCGAGGAATGCAATTAATCACAAATATTCTTACAAACTCAAATCAACAATTAGAAAAATTCTCTATGAATGGAAATAAATTTATTGATGATGGTTCTATATAAATATCAAAAAGAATTTTTCATTAAATGTGTAATTGATTGACACGTATCGATCGAATGACTATCTATGAATAGCATTTGTATCCAAGTGATTTACTGTCACAAAAATTCTGTAAATTATTTCGAGAAACAATAGATCTAAAGAATGTTGATACAAAATTATTCGAGGCTTACAATGAATTCACACTTTCATCCTTGTCTCGAGTTTCATCTTAACTATTTTTCATCGATGATCAAATCTAGCTATGATATATTTCGCATACAGTGAATTATAAATAGAAATGTAAACCAATTAATTGAGCTGCAGTCGAAACAAAGAAACCGATAGGATATTTAAAAAAACAAAAGAATTTTAAATCACTTTCTCAAAGTGTTTTTGTCTAATTGTTTATCAATATTTTCTTTACTATTATTTGTTTCTGTTTCTATTAGAAACGTTCTCAAGACTAAAACCTATGGGTAGATGGCAACCTCTATAAATAGTAAACTTTAACACGTCTCAAGTAATCACATGAAAGAATAATTGTAAGATCTTCAAAGTCTTTTCTTCCATTGCAAGAAGTTTATCCGCTTTCAATTTGATATAATCATTATTTTTCAACAAACTTTGTATTATGTTTCTAATAATGCGACACTACAATCAAAACTAATTTTTTTAAGTTCCTCGAAGTAATGTTCATTTTAAATTTCGAAAAGAATATTTAAAAACAAAAGCCATAGAAATTCAATTGTTTTTCTGAATGAACATTGACAAGATTCAAAACATATACATATGATTACGATGAAATTAAACTCTATTTAGTTTCAGTTTAGATATGTATGTTTAACTATTTTTCAAAAAAATCATTTATCTTCTGTATTACTTCAGATATTTCTGATTGAAAACGAAATCAAAATCTATATTAGACAGATGAAAATGATTATATAAATCTGCAAATAAAATATAAAAACCTAAATGAAAATTTGAGCAAACATGGCTTTTTTTCTCAGTTTTTCCAAAAAGAAAAATCATTCTTTAAACATTTCTTATTTGTCTAAATATTCCTGTGAACTTTGTTACTCAATAATGCAAAGATACCAACAGTCTTTAGGCTAAGTTGTATAAATACAAAGAATATAGGATTGCTTTTCTAGAGTTTGTTTTGCCTTTTTTCTACTTGATCCATAATATACGTATATTTTAACAATGGATAAAAAAATCTTTTATGGTCAAATGCTGAAATCATTATGCTACAGCCTGTACAGAGTACTCGATTAGCATCTGATTTATTAAATGTTGAATCCTTATCAATAATCAATCGAACACAAAATCCCATGTAATGATTGTTCCAATTTCGAAACACTTTCTTTTGAAGCCATCAGTAGAATCAATCCAATTTTACTTTAGACGATCAACACATCAGATTTCTAAATAGAACTTAACATTCGTCAAACAGTGGTTGGATGAAAACCTGTGTATATCGATGTGAATAAAGAAAAAGCCTACATCCACATCAAACTTGTTACCCTCCTATAAGCGTTTCTCGAAAATATTTTGGACTAAAAAATGACTTTAACGCCACTCATCCTTTAACAGTTTTATCTCGTTTTTTTTCCACATAGAAATAAGCATGTGCAATCAAACAGCGTTTTTCTCTACATGATGTCTAAAAAAAATCGTTATGTATATAGGTGATCACATGTACAGCATTTACTATGGATGAGTGAGTATTCAGCTGCATCGTATGCTTGGACAAAAAGAAAATTTGTTTTACCGTCGTAGAAAGAAAGAAAAAAAAACGAATCATATATAAAAACCATATGCACATGGTAGCTTTCTTTGTATTCTTAGTTTCATTTTCAATCAATACAAGTGATGAATCGTTTTCCATCCATTCTCTTCAAGGTAATACGAAATATTTTTTTGAATGAATATGTTCAGTAGTCGATGAAACAAAAAACGAATCTGAAAGATTGATTGAATCAATTACTCTCTTTCACCTTCTGTATGAGATATGAGAAAACGCACGATTTATCTACATAACATCTCAAAATATAAAAAACTTCTAGATCTCATGGCATTCTCTCATATTCCAACTATTGCATCTTTCTGAATTTTGTGTTAAAATATACAATTATATATTTTCTCTTATACAAGTAAAATAAAATTTACAGACAAATAGGGCTAAATAAAATCATTTACTCTACTGCAAGAGAGTTATTTACATATATCTAAAGAAAGAAATAATAGATGCATTTGATCGCTAAGTTTTTTATCTGCTTCAAGTATATATATATAAATCATCATCTTCTATCTGATTAGTCATGGTAAAAGATTGAAATATTATCGAAAACTTAATTTTTGTGTAGATCCCTTTCAGACACACAGTATGATTTCACATTATTAATGCAATTCATTTTCTCGGACAATAAGGAAATGAGCCATCCGATGACATAAAAGTTTGGAGAATCATAGTTCAAAAGGCCAAAAATATTGGTCGTATCTCAACTTATGTGACAACTTTTAAAAAACTTTGGTAAGAAAAGAATCATAAAAAATGAACTAGAGGAGCTTCAATATGGTCGTTCTCTGCTAAGCATACACTGTAAAAACATCGTAGACTTATAAACCCTAAATATTCATGAGACTATTCTTATATGTTCTAGGAAGATATATGACATTGTCGTAAAGTTACTCTTAAAAGTTGATTATTGTATCTTTATCGAAATGAAGTAGACAAAGGAATATAAATTTTCTCAAAATTCAAGGTTGTGCTGTAAAAAAAAAACTTTTTTTTGAAAGAACCATATAGTTTGATAGAAAATTTTGTCTTGAAGCTTCTCCATGTGAAAAATGATCTAAGATGTTCGATTTTCTTCGAAAGAACATGAACCATAAATAAATTAATTTCATTGTCTCATTACATTAAGAAATTCTCTCAAAAAAAGCATTTCTGTGCGCGATTCAGATGTTTTTCTTTACGGGTTTGTTATCACAGATGACTATGAATGCTCACGACATTTGATCAAAATAATAGTGTTTAGGAAAAACAGAATTGTCTCTTAGGTTGATTACCTTAATACGGTTGTTAGTTGTTCGCTGACTCATGATTCGCTATAGTCTATCAGTATGATTTGTACTTCATATATAAGCATCAAAAAATGAAAACGTTCAAATGGAGTATAGATTTTGTGGACTACAAAAGAGTCAAGATGAAATATAGATGCAGTTCTGTAATGAATTCATCATGTTTCGATACTAAATTTACCTATATTTTGTTGATCATTTTGGAATGAAGAAACTAAGATCTTTTTATTGTAGAAGAAGATTTGTCTCTTTTTGGATGGAGAAGTATTTTAATGACTAAACAAAAAACAATCTATTGGAATTTTTTCTTCTTCCAATGCTTGTTGCATAGACGACTTCTATTTACTTTTTTAGCTTTTTGTTGTGTATTTAGAGCGCAAGTTAAATCATAGTCTCATAGTCCACATACACTTCAGCGTACATTGTCTTCGTTTTCTACACCTCATAATTCTCTAAGATGTCCAAGTTAATCGAAAAACTTCGACTAAATCCAATGACCATAGTTGTTTCGGTTTTCGCTGCATTTGGTGGCTTCTTGTATGGTTACGATACTGGTACCATCGCTGGAATCATTGATATGAATTATTTTCTTCAAACATTTGGTGACCGTCAATCAGATGAAACGTATCAACTTACTTCACAGAACAAGAGCTTGATTGTGTCTATTCTATCAGCAGGTACATTCTTTGGCGCATTGCTTGGTTACCCAGCCGGTGATTTTCTCGGTCGTCGTTGGGGATTAATTGTGGCATGCTTGATTTTTTCAATTGGTGTTTCGTTTCAAGTAGCCGCTACTACACTTCCTCTCTTCGTCATAGGACGCGCTGTTGCAGGGCTTGGTGTTGGCATAATATCATGCATTGTTCCTATATATCAATCGGAATGTGCTCCTAAATGGATTCGAGGTGCTCTCGTTTCGATTTACCAATGGTTCATTACTATAGGCTGTCTTGTAGCTGCCATTGTCAACAATGAAACCAAAGACATTCAATCCTATGCTTGCTATCGAATTCCCATTGGTATTCAATTAATTTGGGCTGCTATACTTTCTACTGGTATGTTTTTTCTTCCTGAATCGCCCCGATATCTTGTTATGAAGGGTCATATTGAGCAAGCCTATCAATCGCAAGCAAAACTTAATTGGAGTACAGTTGATGATGAGAACCTCAACACTGACATGGAAGAGATCATTACCAATGCGAAGTTAATGTCGAAATATGTTACTGGCACTTATGCTGATTGTTTCAAAATGGGACCACAAAAGAATCTTCTTCGTACTTTAGTTGGTATTTTTCTTCAAGCATGGCAACAATTGGCTGGTATCAACTTCATTTTGTATTATGGCACATCCTTCTTCCATTCTTCCGGCATTCAACAACCTTTTTTGATAACGATTTTAACAAATGTTATCAACGTCAGTATGACAATACCTGGCATGTTGCTCATAGACACGCTTGGTCGACGAAAAATTCTCATTATTGGTGCTGCTGGTATGTTGGTCTGTGAATATATTATTGCTATCATTGGTACCATTGTCGGCCAGTCGAACGAGGTAGCTCAAACGGCACTTATTACATTCGTTTGTATCTACATTGCTTTCTTCGCTTCTACATGGGGTCCAGCTACATGGGTTGTTACTGGAGAACTTTATCCTTCAGCTATTCGAGCAAAGTGTATGTCTCTATCGAGCGCTTCTAATTGGCTGTGGAATTTTGTTATTGGCTATGTTACACCATACATGATTGATTCAGACAAAGGAAACATGGGTCCCAAAGTATTTTTCGTCTGGGGTTCAATGTGTATAGGCTGTCTTCTCTTTGCTATCTTCTGCATATGGGAGACGAAAGGTTTATCACTCGAACAAATCGACGATCTTGTTTGCAATTCATCGCCTATGTCATCTGCTAAAGCTAATGATGTGTTGAAAGCATCTCAAATCAATCATGATCGGTCGCACACCGTCAGATACCAATCAATTACTCCGGAAAACGATAGCTCTTTACATTAGTTATTTACAACAGTCGTAAACAGTTTAATAAAAAAACTCATTGTTTTCTATCCTACTTTGTTATAAACAGCCATTAACGGTGGCAACCTGCTTTCATTAAACTCATTGAATATAAAGAGCATGTGTTTATGAACAGCTGTAGATGTCACTATGTACCACGACACGAGCTGTGGGTATGGGTGTGGTTCTTCACTTCATCTTCACCCACAGTCACAGCCACTCATTCATACTCACATCCACAGCCCAAATCCCGTTTAGTGTCATATTAGCAGACATGGTCGATGAACATCGATTTACATAGATCTCGCTAATCTCTTTTGTATTAATACTAACAAAATTGCTTGCTTCAATATAGCATCTGAGAATTCCATTTGTAATAATATTTGCAATATTTTTTGCCTTAACAGAAATATATGGAACATCATCGCTCGTTATTTTTACATTCATATTTGCATGAGTAGCTGAAACATTTGACTATCCACCCATTGATAGCAAAAAATTAATATTTTTCAATGAAGAAGCATTGGTGACGTCACAACATTCCGAGAAAATGTTCAACTGATTTGTTGCTATTGTATATAATTGTGTCAACGCACCAGTAGTAACATTTGTTGCAATAAGATTATTTATTTCAACAGTACCCATCGAAATGCTATAATCATCACAAATAACTTGTTTTAATGTTGTGAAATAAATAATAACATTTAAATTGTTTAAATTTAATAATGTTAATGTACGAGTTACATTGTTTAATTGAATATATTAATTATTTTGAAAAACTTAACATGAGTCTGGAAACCTTTCTAGATACCTTTATGGGTATTCGAAAGGGTTTCCGAAGGGGTTAGGGTTTCGGTTTTCGGGAAAGGGTTTTTTTATGAGTGTAAGTCAGTGTCCATCCATGCTCTCTTTCTGCTGCTAAAAACCGCAAACCTCTAGCTATTGTCAAATTAGAGTTATTAAATTTTCTTTCACTTGCATTGTACTTCAAAACGGAATGTAGTCATTCCGTTACTCTAACCAGTGACTAATGTTGGGTACTTATCGTGAGAAAAGTAGCTGAAAGAAAAGAAAATGTGACAGCCCTAATTCAAATGGAATCTCTTGATTATTTTATTGTATCGAACAACAAGAATTAATATATGTCAGAGCTACATATGGAGAAAGAGTAGTTTGAAATAGCAGTCTAATGCAAGTCTGTATATGTCTAAGTGGTTTATGCCAGTGCCAGAACTTGTTGCCATGATGGACGTGAAGTAATTCGATTCCACCAATCTTTGACATGTGGTCGTGATTCGAAGAAATGACCTTCGTTAAGTTTAACTAGACGATTTCCATAGGATAAATGGAACAAGTCGGCCAAAGTGAAGTCCTATTGGCAAAAAAGAAATGATAGATGTAAGATAAATGTTCCTTCTTCGGAATAAAATAGCACGAACTTCTAGAGTAGCTATGCATGTCATCAGTGTTTTGCTATTCATTAGAAAACTATAACAAATATTTTCAACGTATTTTTCGCTCAGAAAAGCGTTGTACTGTAAGAAATCTATAACCGATTCCCACACATGCAAGAAGATTTTTCAAAAAAAAGAATAGGCATTTTTTCAAGATATTCATCAAAAAAACTATGAATTAATTATCGTGCGGTATTTTTTTTTATTACGAGGAGGAAAAGAATGAATGTTACGTACTTGTCCGGCCAAGTAGGGCTGCTTGGAAAGAATCTTCTCATATACGTCCAATTTGGCATTTAGCTGCTCTCTGTATAAAGCAATCTTGGCCTCATCTGGATCACCTAGACCTTTCATGCTATTGAAAATACAAAATTTCACGTGAATCAAACGAAAATCAGAAAAGCCAAAAGATCCTACCCTTTGAAGAGACGCTCAAAGACAATACCACTGACGTACGGATCATAGTAAGACATTTCGATCGATGCCGCCTGTTCAAAAAGACCTAGAGCTTTGACATCGTTGGTCGGCATCAATTCAGTACCTTTGCCCTTGTATTTCAACTCTAGGTAGCGACAGATTGCTCGTGATTCTACGAAAAGAAACCCTTGTCAAAAGATGAGATAGTCGATGGCAAGAGAACTGACCGTAGATTTTGAATCCATCCTCGTCAATCAAGACAGGCACAACACCGAACGGTTGTTTTTCGTCCAAATATTCTTGAGTCTAAATGATAAAGAATTCAAAAAACTAAAATTTCATTAAGTTGTCCGTCTGTTCACGTACTTTCTGTTCACCGGCTGCTAAATTCACTTTGATAAGCTCATATGGGAGACCCTTTTCTATGAGAGTAGTAAGAACACGTTGAGTACAGGTCGATGTCGGCGTTCCATAAACTTTAATAGGCATCTTGCTTCTAATATGGATGAGGATGTAATCTCAAAAGCAACAACTAGAATCAATGTAAGTATGAAAGGACGAGTGTTGTCTGTATTATTTTGGAAAGAACTCTTATCAAATCCGCTATGTATTTGAGGTTGATTAATCCTTTGTGTATACATGATAACAAACTTTGAAAAAGAAGAAGCATGTATAATGGGTTGCCATAAAAAAAATAAGAATGAAAAAAACACTGAGAGAACCTCATGTGTAATAATGACTTAATTCCTCTATGTTATCTTTCGTCGACGTTTGAATTGTATATACATATTTGTATATGTTCACTTTTTTCTTATCTAGACAGACTTCAGAATTATATAGCTATATACATATAGCTATATCTTTATTTTTTGAGAAGGGAGACTTGGGAGGACTGTGGACACTGAAGAAATGTATAGCCCTGGAAAATGCTAAAATTCGCGTACTCTTCGGACGTCCATTCTGTCCTCAAAATAAAAGAAGTATAGATATATGTGTATAACTAGGTAATTCGAAAGTTCTCCTAGCCCTTCACTACGTTGATTGAGATATCACGCGTTGAACATGCATAGAGGGCGCTCGATATATTAGTTACGACTTGAATATACCTGTAAGACAACAGATGTCGAAATATTAGATTAGGTATAGATATTAGAGGTTAGATATGGAAATAAATAGATAGGGATAGTTATTGAAAGGTATACATGAACTAAGTTGTATTATATTTAACATCGAGTGTCACTTCCAGAACGAAGTCTGTTTTAAACTAAAAACAAGATTTTATGAAAAATATTTTTTAGATGTCATATTGCACCTGTTTTTTATTTCCATTCTAGAATACCAACTAGTGTCTGACGACTAAAAGTAATTGTAGCAATGTGACTGCAATATCAAAGTAAATCTATACTATGAACTAAAAATTTAAGGCATATTTCAAATGATTTATTGTGCAAAACCTATGCAAATACGGCCCGTTTACGGATACCTCAACGATAAATTTCAGTAGTGATAACACATCATGCACAGTCAACATACGATTCGTTTACGATAAGGACTTTTTACCAATCCGCATATCTTCCACTAGATAATACAGACACAAAATAGTGCATAAAGACACCATTTCACTGACATGAATCTACGGATTTTCTTCGCTTACATGTTACGAACCTACTGTAAACGGATTCATTGTGATCAACTTGAATAATTATAATCAGTGTCTCTTTCACTACATATATTCATTACGCTTAAATTGTCTCAATTTTAAATACAAAAAAAACAATAATAAAAATAATGATTTATATTTAATTGAGCAATAAAATAATTTAAATGAACAATAATTTACCTAAATTAAAGGTAAATTTTATATGAAAAGGGTGTGAGATCTCAGTCCCACCATACATATATATGTATCACTCTATGTATATCTCCTATGTCCGCATTCATACAAGAAATGTAATACTATATACAGGACAATGACAAGCGCTGGGAAATTCATAAGATGGATAATCCCATAGATGATGAACAATGAAAGGAAAATGTCCATCATGCCTTAAAATTATATTTGCAAGCATATCATTGGTGTATCCATCAGATTAAAATATTGTAAACCTCCACCAGAGACAAAAAAGTGGAAATCGGTACAAAAGTAAAAAAAACTTTATTGACACAATAATATACTATGTTTTCATTTTTCTTCTTTTATTCCTAAAATATGAAATTACTACTACTATTTAATGAATTAAGTATTGTACATTTAGTAATATAAAATTGCTCAAATAAATACTAGCCAAAAATAATGATACTTACTATACCTTTTCGTATATGAGGAATGTTTATGTTTTTATGTGAGTATTATTTTTATTCACCAAAAAGATTACTTCTAATTTGTACGCGTGTTTTTCTTTTCTTCGTTATGTTTTTTTACTTGCACAATCAACGAGAAAAAATATTTTTTTTTATGAGATAAATAATATCAGTATTCTTTCATAAACGATATTTATCATTATTATTCAATCTGACGATTGTATCCTGTACATATGTATATACCTATTCGAAATTTTTATGTTAAAGAAATAAGGTAAATCACATAGAAGAAACAAAATATACCTTCATTATACAACCATTACATTCTTTTTTTATTCTATCATGAGTATGCGTGTTGTTTTTCATTCTCTCTCTATTGCATGTGCTAATGAGATATGAAATCAAAAACAAAAATCAATAATAACGTGCTTGCAAAAAAAAATACACGAAGCTTTGTTAAGCCTATGATTTAAATGATCAGTAAAATAGATGAAATTATCAGTCAGTTAGAATATTATACAATCAGTAAATTGAATGAGTTATCAATAGATTACTTCAATGATTAATTATTAATTAGTAAGCTTTGTAAACAAAATTTAAGAATTTGTAAATATTATTGACGAACAGTAAATTAAACAAGGGATGTATAGAAATTGAAATGTGTTGCACAGCATGATTCGAATAGATAGTATACGTATTGGAAAAGAAATAATAGAAGACATTGAAAAACTTCAATTATTCGATTTTACAGAAATATTCAAAATAGTATCAAAAATATTTTTGAACAAATAGAATATGAACAACAAACAGAAAAAAAGCCAACCAATCAATATTATGTTTTATTCATCATGAATGGCTCAAAATAAAAAATGGTTGATATCAAAGTATACAACTTTATACATCAAGCACATACAACGCTCTAGAGGCAATCAATAGAACATTCAGCGCACGCCATGTTCTATCAAGATTTTTCACAATAGCTTTATATATTGTCAATAATTGGTTGATTGAACGAGATGTTATATCAATTCATGGAAAAATATTTGTTAGAAAAGCCAACAATATCTTGGGGTGTAGTGTGGGTGTGGGTAAGAAGAAGACAAACACCCACACTCACCTTCAGCTGATGATTTTCTCGGTTTGTTTTTCTTATTTCTTATTTAAATATATTTAAATTATTTTAGGTGAATGTCTTCTTAATATGACATATTTACCACTGGGTGCTAAATCATCAAACAATTATAAAGTTGAAAATTCTACTGGATTCAAAACATCGATCATTAAATTTATTTGTAAATAAGCGTATTGCTGCGCTAGTAATAATTTAATTTTTTTAAATTCAATTTCGATCCTTGGTTTATTTAGATCGGTGATCAATGATTGCTCCATTAAAAATGGGAGAAATTCGTGACACAACTCTATTAGGTGTAAGTTACGATCATTGATAAAATTAGATAAATGTTAAAATTCATGGTTTCTCTTTTTTGCTTGTAATAGAGTAGAGTTGAAGCTGAAAAAAATCCTGTTGGAAAATCACGTGAAGGACTGCAACCACCGGATCAACCAAAGTTTGTTTTATTCAACTAATTTATTTGAAAAAGAAATTTGATTCATTTCGATGTGTTGTTTAGTGTAATTTTAAATGGTCAATTATATTGACGTAATTGTATTGACTATACATATATATGATGCACATTTGATTTTAACGACATATGTGAACCAAAAATACAATAAACACAAGTCAATCTAATTAAAGTCAATGCCTAGAATAGTTACTCGACATTTTTGTGAAACAGTCAATTGTTCTTGTTTCTTCGAAGATTCATTAACAAATGTTTTTAATATTCAACATTGAAAAGCAATTGTTGCATTTTTTTTATCAAGATTTCTATGTAATTTTTTTTCAAATAATTGAGAAGAATTTATATGTTTTTGATCAAAGGTTGACAATGTTTAAGAATAAAATCAAATATTCGATGTAGATATAATGTAAATAATGATGATTTTAAAATATAATTCATTCGTAGAACAAAATGAATTTTTTTTTTCTTTTAGAATTGTTTCAATATTTTTATTTAATATTTTTCATATAACATCTCATATCAAACCGTCGAAAAAAAAATTCTAAAAGTCTAACACGTAAGATTGGTATCGTTGGAAAGAATGCAAAAAACTGAGTATTACCCTAGGATATGAGCGCGGGGTATAGGGTAGCCCCAAGCAAAAATTTTCAAACAAAATTTCATGCAAGAAGAACGTTTTTGTTCTTTCTTT